CCCCCCCCCCCCCCTGCCATAAATATTGACCACTCCCTTATATGAAACTGTTTATACTCACAGAGAATGAGTGTTTCTAAAAATTATATCGCCATTACAGTTTGCAAATTGTATGAAGGAAATAAAATTCTATGTGATGGTAATCGTTCGTACCTTGTTGCTGCTCGTTCATCTCATCCTGTTTTTGCTGTTGTGGTTGAGTTTGCCGCTGGTGTTTTTGCTGTCGTTCCTGTTGCTGTTTCTGCAGTTGTTGTTGTTGCTGCTGTTGTAACTGTAATAATTGCTGTTGTTGTCGTTCTTGCGTCTGTGTTTCGATTCGCGGTCGACGATTACCAGAATGCTTCTCCTTTGGAGCCTTTTGCTTTCCATTCTGAGCGTGTCGTTTTGCGAATTGCTTTTTCTCTTGACCTTGTTTCGTCGCAACATTCTCGTTCTGTTTCACAACGGATTCATCATTACTCACATTCTCTTTTCTATTGCCAACGAGTCCTTTCCGCTGTTCTTTAAGCGCTAGCTGTAGCTTCAATTTCTTATACTCGTTGCGTTTTTCCTCAGAAAGAACCGAAACAACCTCGGGAGTCGTTGGAGTTGACGGTTGTGGGTCATTCTTATCGTCAATCTCTTTCTGAGTTGTTACTTCAGAAGACTTAGATTTTGATGAACGCTCTCTACAAAAACACGAAAACAATTTCAAAACTACAAAGTCTAGACAATGTCCCAGGGTGTACGTACATACGTAAAAATCTCACATCTTGTAGCAAGTCTGCCAACAAGCCGTCAACAAGTTGTGTTCGCACTGCTTGTCCCAAGTTGTCAAGAAGTATGCGAAAAGCTGTTAACAACTTGTAACAACCTTGCTGATATTATCAGACTTGTTGCAAGGTTATAACCTTGTGTCGTCAACCTTGTAACATTCTTGTTATATCATGACTGTATCAGACTTGTTAGAACAACCTTGTAACATTCTTGTTATATCGTGACTGTATCAGACTTGTTAGAACAACCTTGTAACATTCTTGTTATATCATGACTGTATCAGACTTGTTAGAACAACCTTGTAACATTCTTGTTATATCATGACTGTATAACGGACTTGTTAGAACAACCTTGTAACATTCTTG